ATTAGCGGTTAGATCCCGGAGCTCGTTGTGGCGCATCCCAGTGTCAGGCAGTGAATCCTCCGATGGCACATGATCTGATGATAGGGCATGGGTGGTGTCGAAGGGCTTTCCACAGGTGCAGTGAGACGGCAACCGGGGAGGGGTCCAGCCGTAGCGCAGACATAGGGCATCCCGGAAGCCAGCCTTGTGGATGGTAAACTGGAACCGGCGAGATGGCCGACTAGTGAGCCAACTGGAGGCACCTTTCTCTGCGGCTAGATCCAGAGTCCGCCTGTGGTCGTCACTCAGGGTATCCCTGAGGGAGGAGAGGGCCATTGCCTGATCTTGGCGATTAGCTGTGCGTTGGGCCGCCTTGGCTGCCTTGGTGGCAGCAACAACTTCCTCGATGGATTCCTCATGTTGAAGGAGCTGCTCGACTAGAGGTCTGGTGACAGCCGTAGACGTGTCGTACTGCTGGGAAAGGGTCCCTGGGTTTAGAATTCCCAAACCACCATGACGACACGGAAGCGCCAGGATGGCACGTTCTTCCTCGCCGGGGGCCTGGCGACCAGTCAGTGCAGGGAGGAAAACTTGGCTGATGGAGTTTTCCAGCGGTGTCAGGAGGTCCGCGATGGCTGGTATTGTCCTCGCAAGGAATGACCACTTATGGCGGAGCCATGGGTAAGGACAGCGTAAGCAGCCTGAGGTTGAGACGCCGCATGTTTGGCGAGGGTCTGCAGCTCTGTGCACCATGTGTCAACCTTCTGCGACATGTAACCGTCGCAGAACAGGCAGAGCCTAGGGCAGCATCAAGATGACGATAGCCGTCCGTCCGGATGTTAACCCCAGTTGTGGCAAACAATTCTGTTGCTAGCGCAAGATGTTGTGGCTTCACGAGGAGAACGGACTTTGACGGGTTGATGTCGTAACCATACCTGGTGCCTCGATCTACTAGGATGGACCACCAGGTGCGCATTCGTCGGAGAGCGCCGGCTGAAGGTGCGTCATCGGCATACCAGGACTGCATGGTCCCAGCTGCGGCGGCTTCCCGGATCAGTGGCACTGTGCCAAGCGCATTTGATCTTGCAAAAATGGGGTGGGCGTTTGCTCCGGACTTTACGGTACTAGCACTACTAGTATAGTGTGTACCGGAAGTACAGTGTACGTGAATTATTGTCAACATAACAAATCCCGATACTCTCTTCACAACTCAGCGCCACCTGCGCAGCTGCCTGCTTCTCTTTTTTTCCTCCGAGCTCAACACTTGCAACTATTAAAGTTACTTGCAAACCAGATACAAAAGAATCTCTTTTCTTTCTTTCGTATCTGGTTTGCGAAAAGAGTAGCAGACAGGTCGCGTGCAGACACGTGGCCTATTAGCCTGGTTTCAAGTTTAGGCCTAGGGAGCCCTACACATAGCAGTGTCTGCTCCAGCGCCGGGTGAGCCGGGTAATCCACCCGGTTGGGCGGCGCTTGGACCCGGTTGAAAATATAGTACCGGGTCACCTGTGACCCGGTTGGTACTTTACACTTTCGAACTTTGAAAGGACTGACTACACGGCTTGTATGTGTCAGCTACTTCTTCTTCTTTCGTAATTTTCTAATTCCTGTCCTCTCTTTTCTAAATGAGGCTTATCCATTCGCCTCTATATCATTGGGCCTAGTTCCCGTTTATTGTCCGAATTAAAATAAACCAACCAACCAAGTAAGTCATGATTAGTTTGCCCGTCGTGTGAATGGCCTACCATGTGACTCGGCTGGTGAGACAGCGCCAGGTACATTGTGTACCCGGCTCCGACCTGGTTGAAATGGTTGCGCCAGGTACACGTGTACCCGGCTGTCCTATAATCCTAGAGCAGACACTGATAGGTGTAGGGCTCCCTGATAGGCTAATATTTATTATTATCAAGAGTACATAACCCCGGGTTATGTACTCTTGATATTATGTACTCTGAAGGTCCAGTGAGGTCCAAACTTGAAACTCTCAACCCTGTCTGCGTATTCTTTTTATTTCTGTCCATGCCACCGTTCTCATTATGAACGCAATAGGGGCGAGGCATCCTGCAGCTTCAAAACCCAGAAGAATTGGCGAGCAGAGCTCGTAGCCGCACAGTGAATAAGCCATGGGGTGACCATATGAGAGCTAGCTAAGCATGCAGAGATCAACCTGATTGTCAGAGATAGCATCTTCTCAGCAGTGTCTGTAATTACAGTAAACTGGGCCTGTAACTAAAGACCACCGTGACTAGCGAGCAGCCTGGTACTACAGACCACTTCTCCAGGCACGGACGGTCTCACATTCATGGTTGCGCAGTGCAAACCTCTAACTAAGGACCACCTGCCACTAAAGACCGCTTTCTCTGGCCCCAAGGGTTTGGTCGTTACTCACAGGTTTTGGTCGCTAGTCACGGTGGTCTTTAGACTAAATTAGTTACAGGTTTTACTGTACTTGCAACAGACAGTGGCTAGGGTAAGCCGCAAATTGCAGGAGGCAGTGGAGATAAGAAACGAGGGCCCAGAGATCAACACCAGCGCTGGATGGTCAGTACTCTAAAAACATTCACACCAAACCTATCTTCTACGTTACAATGTTTTCCAGGAAACACTGACGTGGTACTATAATAATTATTATTATTATATTTATGTATTACTAGCGAGAAACCTGTTGAAACACTTCTCAAGTTACCATACTCACTCGATTAGAAGCCCGTCTTCAACAATAGCCTCCCGCCCCCACAATGACCATTGAAAAAAACACAAGCCCCTCTCGGGTGGAAGCCCAGACTACTATTCGCGAAGCACGGGGTGCCAGCCAGGCAGTGCCATGTATTGTAAGGCCAAGGGCGTACAAAACATCTCGTGTATTGTACATGCATGCACATACCGGTACACATCTAGGTTGACGTAGTGTGTGTGAACTAACTCGGGGCAAAGTTTAGTTGCCGTGAATATTAAAGGCTTTATAGGGATTCAATCGGAATACTGGCATGGATTGAAATAATAAAAGCCATTCCCGAATAGATGCCTCCTCAAAATGGGCACTGAAAAATAGAAGCCCCCCCCCCCCCCCCCCCCGCTTCTAATCGAGTGAGTGCGGTATCTGGTGACATCTGTGTGCTGCGTATGTACCGTAAAGTACCGTTGATCCGCCCCCTCTCTAATTCCCGCCTCCTGTCGATTTTCTACCTGTCAAGCGATTTCTGCGTATACAACGAAATACGATGTTGAACCGACGCTTGCACTGCTGTACACAATATGTGCCAATCCAGGATGAAAATGTGAACAATTTAGCACATCGAGTCGGATCCTCCAAGTTGTTGTACATCGTACTGCACTTGACAGCCTTGATCTAATTCCCGCCACTGCCGAAAAACCAGCTGGGAAGCGACATGGCGTGGGAGGGGGCAGATCGAC